TTAAGGGCAGAAACATGCGGTGTCCAGCCATTTTCTAAGCAAGCCGTTGAAAAGTTAGATACGTTCCCGCCATCTGCTGGGGGAAATGACCGTTACACTTCAAATATGGTCGAAACATTCTACACCTGACACGTTCCCGCCATCTGCTGGGGGAAATGACCGTTACACTTCAAATATAGTCGATAAATTCTACAGATGATTTTCTAGAGTTAACGTTTATAATATTTAGTAATGTTTATTAATATTTAGGTAATAGGTAAGATTTATCACTTTTTAGAGAAGCAATAACGAACGCATTTTCATTATACATATCATTTAATAAAAGTGAAATTTTGTGATTTATTATTAGTTACCATTAAAAAAAACTGAATACATTTTTTTATAAATTAATTCATTTAAATAAATTTGTTGAAATAAATTATTTTTAAAATAAATTGGATTAATAAATTGACAGAAACACATACATTTAAATAAATAAATATATTTAAATAAACAAATTTAAATAAAACAATTAAATAAATATAAATTATATTACCTTTGAGTGGTGTCAGGGACACAATTTAATGAAAGTTATTGGTCTTCAAACACAGATTTCTTAAAGTTAAAGCTTTTCATAAAGCATTTAATAAAAAATGCAGTGTTATTCTTAACGTCAACAACTGACATTTATTCGTCAGGTATGGCAACCAAAATATATCATCTGATAGACGTCATAGTGGTAACTTTCAACACGATTTTCATCTCCAAACAAAATGCAACGTCCCCACGACGTTGGGGTGAAACGTCAATCTGACGTCCTGTGGTTGCTGGGCTCATGCTTCAAATGCTCTCTACTATTTTTATTTTTTGGTATCTGACATGCCCCGCCCCCACTCTCACTGACAGAGCTGTGATGAAAAACTAAACGCTATTGGCTGATTTTTTATAAAGTTGAGCAGCTACTCTGTCTCGGCCTCCAGGTGGAGATTACATCCAATTTCGAATAAGACACACCTCAAATAACTTCACAGTATCTTTAGGGATTTTAGTATGTTATTTATTTGTAAAAGAATAAAGGGATTTGTGTCATCTATGTTTTCACAAAAATCTGTTTTAATACGTTTAATTTGAGGTTAATTTTTAATGATTTAAATGACTTTTCACATGTTAAGCGGGACACAATTTAATGTACAGCCCGGATATACAGTATATGTGCAGTTCTACAGTAGCCTATATTTACATTTGCCTATGGAAGGATCAGATATTTTGTTTAACAAAACATATTTCTTGTTCAAAAGCTCCAATTATGGCAAACTATTTGTAATCTTTGAAAAATCTTTCTTTACATTGTCATGTACAAATAAGTACATACAGGGCTTGACATTAACTTTTTTGATCACCGGCCACTGTGGCTAGTAGTTTTCCATCGTTACTAGCCACTCGCCATTTTCACTAGCCACAATTTTGTTGTTGGGAAAATATATTTTATATGCATAAATTTGACTTTGGCATGGGTTGCGGCATCTGAAAATTACTTCATTTAGGTTTTGTGTGTTTTCCACTTGCCTCCTCGTTCATTTAAGTGTGTTTTGTTTATACGCTAAATGGATTATGCTTTCATTAAGTGTCGCATTGCATTTAGTTTTCTTTCACAGGACTTTTCAGGCCTCAACACAATAAAGATTTACCTTTTTTGTCAATGGCCACACCAAACTAATTATTTCCTCGCAACAAATTTAAAATAATGTGTCAAAACAAGCAAAATACTGCTGTATACATACACTTTTTATTCAACAAAACAGCTGACATTTAAAAATATATATATATATTCTCACGCATTTAAAACTATGCACAGTGATCTGTTCTGGCTCAATATCCCAGATCACCAGTTATATGCATACAACAACAACATATTAAAGCAATATTATTGTAAAGGATGATTATTAAACTTTATTAACAAAAATAACAGCAAGCAAATAAGGCGGGTGAAAAATATTCTGTGTGCGTTAATGACAGGATGATGCCGTGCACACGGTTAATGTTAGGCCAATTAATAATCTGTTCAAAGAATGGTTAAAGCGAAAGCGGCAACAACTGCTGCTGCTTACAAAGAATCTCGAGTTCTTGAAGGACTGTGGGTGCACGAGCATCGCACTAGTTTTGTTTCACTAGAGCTTTCAAACACTCGCGCCATTCACACGGGGCTTCAGCATCAACGCTTGACTGAAGGCGTGTCTGAAGTTGGGGCTGAAGCGATCTTCATAGCAGCATCAGCCAATGAAATTCAGTCAGCAATAGGCCACTGTCTAGCTGGTGTATTTGCATACAGCGATCTGATTGGCTGACGCTTTAGTCGGCGCTTGAAAAGTTGAGCTAGTTCCAATCTCTGCAGCGAGCAACGCCTCTGAAGCCGCGCCGACGGATCCACAATGCAGATCGGCAATGCCTGACGTCACCCAAAGTGTATAGAAAGCATTGACGCTGATGCCCCATGTGAATGGGGCGTTAAGCCATCGTCAGTGAGTGAGGAAAGCCTGTCTCACCATGCATGTGATCCTCTCATTCGTTATTCACCTGCTTTCCTTTGCTCGGCGACAAGCTGTTTTTGTCAGTCGTGCTGCTTCTCGATTCTAAGATCACATTAGTGCGCATATAGACAAACGGTCATAAACTAACAGTCTAATCTGTAGTGACGATGAGCCACAACCGGAATCTACCCACATTTGGCGGGTTGGCAAGTGTTGATGTAAAGCCCTGAGTACATATAAACTGTACATTTATTAGCCCTTCTGAATTATTAGCCCCCTGTAGATGTTTTTTTTTCCCAATTTCTATTTAACAGAAGATTTTTTTCAGCACATTTCTACACATAATAGTTTAATAACTCATCTCTAATAACTGATTTATTTTATCTTTGTCATGTTGACATTTAAAGGCTTAACTAGGTTAATTAGGGTAAAGTTAGGGTAATTATGGAAGCCAATGTTTAACAGTGGTTGACTTTAGACAAAAAAAATTGATAAAATAATGCTGGCTAATAATATTGACCTTAAAATGTTTTTAAAAAGAAACCTGCTTTTATTCTAGCCGAAATAAAACACTTTCTCTAGAAGAAAAAATATTATAGGACATACTGTGAAAAATTCCTTGATCTGTTAATTTAATTTATAAACATAACAGTCAACTAACATCTAATAACCAGTTTCACATAAAGACAAAATAGCTAACTAAGCACTGTCTCCACATTTATGTTTGGTATTTACAAATCTTCATAGTTCTTGTGTTAAATGGAAGAGCTGAATGTTACTGTACGCTGCCATCCACTGGAATCGGTAGGAAGTAGACTGCATTTTGGCCCTTGTGTGTTCTGGAGCCGTCTTTTGTCCGTCCGTTCTTTCTGATGCCCACAAACCAGTCTCCGTTGTCCTGATATCTCTGCGAACGGTATGTGTTGTAGTGATTTTCCTCCATCTTCTCAATGAAGAAACACTCTTCATTCAGCACAGCCTGGCACAAAGATCAGCACATCATTTACAAATGAGCTGCAGTTTAAAGAGGTACCGTCTTAGGTCTTAGGTTGCATAGCATAGGTATAGTTTTGTCAATAGCCAAAAAAATACATTATATGGGTTAAAATTATAAATTTTTCTTTAATGCCATAAGTTTACTAAAATCCATGAAGATATTTTGTAAATAATATGCATTGCTTAGCACTTAATTTGATGACTTAAAAACATTAACATTTGAGTACTTCTATATATTCTATATAACAAATATTGCCCTATCCTAACAAATAATTATATAATATAAGTTCTAATGATTAATAAAGATTAATACGTATTATTAATAATAATACATAATTAATGATGATAATATTAATACTACTACTACTAATAATAATAATCAATAATATTAATAAATCAATAATATTAACAATCAATAATAATAGATTAATAATAATAATAATAAATTTATAATAGTAAATTTATAATAATAATCAGTAATAATAATAAATCAATAATAATAATAATCAATAATAATAATATTAAATCAATATTTTAATAATAATAATAATCAATAATTATAATAATATTAAATCAATATTTTAATAATAATAATAAATCACTAATATTATATTTATACTAATAAAAATAATAGTAATAATAAATCAATAATAATAAATTAATAATAAAAATAAATCAATAATAATACAAAATAAATAATAATAACTTTATAATAATAATAATCAATAATAATAATAATAATCAATAATAATAATAATCATCATCAATAATAATATTAATCTTTATTATATACATTTGGGCGCATGGTGGCGATTGCGCCTTACAGCAAGAAGGTTGCTGGGTTGCTGGTTCGAGTCTTGGCTGGGTCAGCTGGCATTTCTGTGTGGAGTTTGCATGTTCTCCCCGTGTTTGTGTGGGTTTCATCCGGGTGCTCCGGTTTCCCCCACAGTCCAAACACATGCGCTATAGGTGAGTAGTGTATGTGTGTGAATGAGAGTGAATGGGTGTTTCCCAGAACTTGGTTGCGGTTGGAAGGGCATCCGCTGCATGAAACATATGTCAGATAAGTTGGCAGTTCATTCCGCTGTGGCAACACCCAATTAATAAATGGACAAAGCCGAAAAGAATATGAATGAATGAATAATTACCCACCATGAATTAAAAGCTTATTTATTCAGCTTTCAAGTAATAGAAATCTCCATTTAAAAAAAAAAAATTTAATTATATTAAAAATATTAATGTCAAACAGATACAGGTTGCACTTTATTTTACAGTATGCCTACTTACAGTGTTTGCTTAAATAAAGGAATGTGTTATCTAATTAAGTAGCGGATTAAGGAAACTACATGGGTTAAGGTTAGGGTCAGGGGTAGGTCATTTCATAGTTATTTTAATGACTATAAGTACACATTAATACATGTGAAACAGCACTGAAAAATAGTGGTATTCAAGTATATATAAACTCACGGTGCCATAAAGTCTTCCACATTTGTCCATTGCAAGGTATAGTCCAGTCTCATGACCTCTGATGGCCACAACTCCTGCTTTCACTGCTTTTACCTTTAAAAGAGCTGCCATACAACAACACTATAACAACAAATCTATAGTAAATTCACAATAAATACTATATTTTTTAAACCATACTATGGTAAAGCACTTGAATTGGTTTGTTGTGGTGATATTATAGGTGCTATGGTAATGCAACAACTATAGTAAACAAATGACCAAAGTATACAGTAATAAATACTAAAGTATACAACAGTGTTTATTATGGTTTATCAGTTCACTATAGTATAGTATGGTGAAGAAGTCACTAAGAAAGTGCTGTAAATGCTATAATATATGCAATATAATACACTTTATGGTATATGGATATAAAACACTATATAAATTCATTCATTCATTTTCTTTTCGGCTTAATCCCTTTGTTATTCTGGGGTCACCACAGCGGAATGAACTGCCAAATGATAAACTAAGTCAAGTTATTATTTGTTGTTCCTAAAACTTGGATAGGCAAGACTTTTGTCAGGTAGTTTTGTATGGTTCAAACTTTATAGTTGCCGTAAGCACTTTACTATAGTATAGTTTGAAAACAGTAGCCTATAAATTATTTTTTCATGTGTGTGCACTGTACACCCATATACACCATAATTTCATAGAAACAACCAATCCACGCCATTAATAGTGTAATATTGATCTTATTCATTACATTTAGCTCATTGTTTAGCCAAAACATGAGAATCTCACTTTATAAATCCCTGCTGAAAAATCCAGCTAAAACCAGCCTAGGCTGGGTTAAGCTGGATTTTTCAGCAGGGTAAGCTATAGACATATTATTTTGAGACATATATAGACATAGACGTCTATAATTATTGGTTATTTAAAGTTTTACATTAAGGAAAAACATTTCCTTGATTTAATTTAAAATACTATTTATTGGAAAGTTTTCAATACAGAAGTGTTTAGCTAGCTGTATTAGCATGGCGCTTTGAAATT